TGTGTTTGCCTCCCAAAAATAAATAAATAAACCAGTGTTTTGCCACTTGGAACAATATGAATAAAAACAAGATGAAGAAAAATACTGATTTAGAAGTGGTTTGAGCTGTAAAAACATGTATTTCCTGTTGTGTATTGCCCTTTCTCAAAGGGCATTTTTGCTTGTTTTCTTTTCTGCAAAGATGAGCAGGCGAGTGGAAAACAGATTTGATTTTCGTTGCTTTACTACTGGCTATAGGAAGAGAAAAGTTGAAATGCTGTTAAAATTCTCCCAAATCTTTGAGGCTGCATGATGTTTTCTTGACTATATTTAAAAAAAAAAAAAAAATCTAAATTGCACCCAAATAATTGTTTGTTTCATATTAAAAGTATCTGGAAGCCTGCCCAGTGGTCTGGTGGTGTGTGCTGTGAGTAACATGTGAGTAACATGTGAGTTCTGAGACCGAAGCTCTGGTTGTCTCGCAAGTGCTGGTGAGGAGGTGCAGCGCTGCTGTGCCCGAGCAGGGTCTTTAAATGGGACTTGTGATGAATTCCCGCTCTGGAGACTGGTGCAGTCATGGGGGCTTTATTCAAAGTACCTTGAAGTCTTTGTACAAGGTTTGGGTAAGCTTGGGGAGACTAGTCAGTGTAAGGGGGCAGATGTATTTAAGAATCTATGCACCAAAGGGTTCATTTTGGAGAGAATTTGCCTTGCAGCTCCCCTGGGGATGCTGCAGTATGCCCTCCCGCTCGGTACAGCAGGTTTCAAGCTGTTGCCCTCCTAATGGAGTGAAGTCTGGAGCACCCAACTTGTAAAAGGGATGCGAAGTCCTCCGGCCGTCTGACCTCCGCGTGAGTGGTGTGTGCCTGGGACTGACCGGTGGTGCACGCTTTGTTGCTGGTAAAGATGTGATGTGCGCTTGCAGTCCTGGAAGTGTGTTGGATTGCAGAAAATTAAACTGTGGACTGTCTCGGTTGTGCCATGCCAGACAGTGATGTAGAGGTACCCTGACAGACATCTCAGGGCACTTCTGTCTGCACTGGCCACTGTCTTTTCTCTCTGGTGCCTGAGCAGAAGGTAAGAGATTAGAAAGGATAGCAACACATTTCTGATGCACTGAGAAGAGTCAGATTCTGCCGAGCTTGCTCCCGCTGCCTTCATCAGGTGCTCTGTTTCCTCCCAAACTAACCAACCGCACCAACAGCCCTGGGCTGGAGAGAGCGCGAAGAAGTGGTGGTCTTTGATCCATGGTGCTGTCGGTCGCAGCCTGGAGCTGACACCCTGCCCAGCTCGCTGTCCTGGGCATGGGGATGTCCCCTTGCTCCAGGGATCCAAATCCAGAAAGGACTTTGTTTGGTCTTTTGTGGTGAGGGAGGGAAGAGTAAATGTTTCACTTAGTGTGCCAGATTTTTATCCTGCCTCTGAAGGCTATTTTGGTTTTGGCATGAACTCTTCCAGTGCTTGTGAGAAGTCTTGGGTTGGCTCGCCCGAGTCTGACCGAGCCACCTCGCTCTACCCCAGATGAGAGGCAAGGAGTCTGCTCCATCAGCAGAGCTAAAGGTGCCAAGATGAGACAAAAGCATGCTCTGCCTGGGCATACCTCATACCGTGAGGTTGATGCGCCTTGCTTCAGACAGAGGAAACTCATGAGGAAAGGTTTAAAAAGATAGGGGTGGAAGAGGAAGACCGGAGGGTTATCCAGCTAATGAGTTCTGCTCATCACCCAAGCTGAGCCCATTTTCCTAGCTGTGTACGTTCTGCAGATGTATAACAGAACATGTAAGTGGCGCTAATTGTTTTCTATTTAAAACATGTTTTATGATCAGTTACCTTGAATGAGAGCTGGTTTCATTGGCTGACTTCTGGTTTTGTGTTAAAAGACTCTGGAAGATAAAAGTTGAGAGAAGTCAATCTTTAGCCCTTTTATAGCAGCTCTAAATTATTAATGAGTCCTACGTTACTCCTCCAAACGTGTCACCTGGCTCTACTTCTGAAACTGTTTCCTTGCATTGTTGTTTTATGGCATCCAAAATATTATGGTTTTCCTGTGACAGACTCTGCTAGCAGAAGCATGATGTGAACCAATACAACAATTTTGTCTCTTTTTGAAACTTATTTGTTAAATGTGTCTGGCAAAGCAAACTGTGGCGAGAAGCACTTGTGTATCGTTTGGATATTACCTGGGTAGTGAGATCCTGATCATTTGTGATAATTGCCTTCTTTCATAACTCTCGCAAGGGGAATAGAGAATTCAGCTTCCTCAGCACAGTTGACTGTGATCATACTGTTCTCTAAATTAGTATTTGTTCTAAATTAGCACTCTCTCCTTCCTGTCTGAAATTTTATCACTGTATTTGTTGAATATATGTTCAACAAATACATGCGTATATATATACACATGAATGTCGAATATATATTCATAGACATTCTGTTGCACAGACATCATATTGCAATAGGAGGATTGTTAATTCACAGATCGGTATATAAGGTAAGGAGTAGTGAAGAGCTATGCAATTCTGGTGAAAAAATGTTACAAATGCAAGCTGTTATTGTTTGCCTGAGTATCACAGCCAAAACAGAAACATGACTTTTGAGATTCCTGTTTGACTATAAGCCACAGCAGGAAGGTGAGTGGTGCAGAAAAATCAACAGCGATAAATAACAATTAGAGAAGGAAGCTTTTCAGAATGAGATTTGACAAAACCTGTTGGAGGGAACAAATGAAACAAACCTCTTGTGGCAATTTACTCTTGGCTTCGCTTTCATGTGTGGTTGTAGGCTAGGTAAGGCAATGAATGATGGTGAGGGTGAAAAAATTACAGGGCAAGGAGTTAACTGCCTTTTAAGAAGATAGATGGTAGAGAAGGAAGGAAAAAAAGAGCCAATAATTAAAGCTGGAGAAGGAGGATGGACAATAAAACTGGCAAAGGACAGAAGTACGCGCACCTCAAGCAGCAGCAGTTGGAAATGGGAAAGGAGGAAGGGAAGCGTGTAGTGGTGCAACTGAGGTCATGAAGAGAAAGAAGAGAGAGGTTTTGTTGTCTTGTAGGACTGGCTAGCACCTCGAGGAAAGATGAAATCATAGACTGTGATTGCAAAAATTCATGCAGAAACCATGGAGAGAGAGGAGGAACAGCTGTGAGCAATGGAAGAGGCAGTCCTCAGGGGAGCCGGGGTGGGTACAAGGGCATCTGTGTACAAGGAAAAGTAGGGCTGGGAGTAGCAAAAGAGCCAGAGACCGAGGACGTGGTTCAAAACTGCCAGGGTGCAGTGAGGGCTGGGGGGTCCCTGGGCCTGGGGGCTGCAGGGACACCCCACGGGGCTGGCAGCCAGGAGCACCGGGGCAGCCCTGGGCATCGGGCACCTCCCTGGGGATGGGGATGGGGCCGTGGGTGGGTGGTTGGGGGTCAGGATCCGACACAGCCTTGTGATGGCAGGGCGGGGCCGTGGGGATGTGCATCGCTACAGATGGTTGTTGGAGGGTAAAATGGGGAAGGCAAGATGTGTTATTTGTGGTTGTAAAGATTTTGCTGAATACATGAAGTCAATTAAGTGTCATAAACATCCATAGGTTTTGTTATGCTGTTGTATTGATTTATACTGCTGTCTTCAAATATGGTTTAAAAGTGGTAAGAATGTGTAAACAATTAGAAATGTGAGATAAAAATATAGTGGTAAGATTTGTAGCTTCAGGAGCCATATAGCAATCTTACTCACATTATTTATCAAAAACTGTGTCCTACCATCGCATATGATGCGTCATAGTTCAGCAATATAGAAAGAGAAAAGTTTTCTGCCTAATACTTTCCCTTTCTTTTTGGTAAATAATAATATTTCACAATTGTGGTAAAATGTGCTGCATGTCACCTGGAAATAAGGAGATTGTTTCAGCTCTAGTAGTAAATGTTAGTCTTGTTCTGCAATCATTGCATTAATACATCTCCCAAAATGCTCTTGCTCTCCCAAATTTCCCTAAATGCGCTGCTTGGAAGCTGGGCATGCATTTACGTGCAGTACAAAATTGAAGATATTCCTTCGGGCATAATTTTACTTAGAAAAATTCTAACATCATTAATAATGTATAAGTGTAACAGGCTTACATTAAAAGGAAGCCATAGACTAGGTCACTTCTAATCTGCATAATAATTCCTACATGGCAATTAGTATGACAGTAAGGATGTAAAAATGGGGTGTGGGGGGAGAATATACATGTACTGAATTTTTGGAGGCTAGATAACCTTCTGATTGATGGCACGACCCGGTTCAATTCAAGTTGCTTACTCTGGCATGGTATTAAAAATTGGTTTTCAGTACTAAAGCTCACACTATTGCTGTCAGAAGAAGGGGTAATGGATATTAGGTAGTGGAAAACTATAAGAAAAATGTCTTGCTTTAGACAAGGCCGTTTTAGGTAATTGTGATCGCTCAGCATTGCAGATGTGACCGTCTCTCTCTGGGTCACTTTGGGCAACTTTTACTGCGTCTGAACAGACTCTGTAAGCAGGACATGTGCATCTGAAGAGCACAAAGCATTTATCGGTTTATTGGTTAGCAAACATAAAAGATAGGTGGGATTGAAGGAGCTCCTAGGCAAGGCGAGGCTGCTGGGCCGCGGCAGAGCCAGGCCTTGGGCCGCAGCGCGCCGGACCCCCGGCGGGAGGTCACACCGCAGAAACGGTAAATGCTGAGGTCACAGGTTATCAGACATCAAATGAGGAACTTAAATGAAATTAATGATTCTTGAAATTTGAAGTGCAATGTTGGATGACGTGAGTGGCTTATACAGCTTTCTTGTTTTTTTAAAAATAATTTGCAAAAATTTATTTCAATGCTAAACGTTTGCTTTGCAGCAGCACTTCTGTTACAGCTCTTTCAGGTGTTAATAACGTGTTACGAGAACTGCAGTTTGAACAGGCGGCAAACGCCACTCCTGGCCTTAAATACTCAGTTCACGTCCACTGCAAATCTTTTGGAAGATTTTCCGGATACACAGCCTGCAATTGTCCTTTCTTCTGTTCTAGGTAATGGGCCCCATCATGATCGAAGTTGTGTTTACAACCAGAGCAACATAGTAGATGGAGTTTACTGCCTCCCAATAGCACACTGGATTGAAGTCTCTGGACATACTGATGAGATGAAACACACAACGGACTTCTATTTTAATATTGCAGGACATCAGGCTATCCATTACTCCAGGTAAAAGAAAAGTGCAGGGCTTGGCTGGTGTCAAGTATTCAAACAGAAAATCTGTACTGACATAATGTCAGCAAACTTTGAAGTGGTGAATGGAAGTATGTATGTAACGGTAAAGTTTAACAAAGTTTCCACACCTCTTTGCAATTAAATACCACTTTTGGCAATAAAAAGGAGAGATTGTGAGTTCAAGGATACCTGCAGCCTGTACAGGTGTGTTAAGGTGCATCACATCTGAAGATGACTAGTAGTAATTTATGGATAAATTTATGAGGAACTGTCATTTTCAAATGCTTGTCCACATACACATGTAAATATGCATGTATGTAGTGTGTTTGGCTTGGGATTGTTTTGCTGAAGAAACCTCCTGGGAAACAGAACATATTCCAGCGCCAGAACTTTAGGGCATCACGTTATTGCTCATGTGCAGCAGCAACTGCAACTAGTGACAGCTGTTACAGGTGACTTCTGCTTCTGTGCATGCATTTTTTTTAAAAAAACACACTAAAACTGAGACAAATCTTAAAATGTTTGTACTTTGTGGGGTTCAGTTGAGTCCACTGCCTCACCGGTGAAGCATCCTGGCCTGAATGAGGAGCTAGTAAAGCTTAAAGAGAAGAGGGCACCCACACTTCAGGGCTGCAGGTAAAGCACAGGCTATGTTTAGAGCAGCAGCCTTAGCATCAGTGATTAACAAAGTGGCACTGAGGGATTTGGGACCGTTTGTAACTTTTTCCCCATCTCCAGTCATGGATGTGGCAGCAAGTTTGTTGATTGATAATGTTTGCATGGGTGCTGGCAGCCCTGATACGCCACGTGCAGCTGGTGGTGGTTACGGAGCAGTTCGTGATCCCAAAGGGATATGTATTTTTTGAAGAAATCAAACCACCTCCTGCTTTCATTAGGTCTTAGCATTGCTTTGTGTGAGTTCTCCAGATCACCGTTTCAGCAACGCCAGCCTCACCGGCTTGTCTCCTCTTTCTACTCTTTTGTCTCCACCCTCCCACAGGGTAGGAAGCAGAATTGTCTTTTTCTCATCAGAGTTGCAGTGTATGAGGGCAACATTTCCTTCTCTCGGTATCTTTTGGAATAGTACAGATTCATACACACTGGTAGGCCTGTGTAGGTATTTGTGTGGCTTGGTGCCTTTTCCCTGAGACCCCCTCAAGCTCTGTAATAGGCCTGGCAGAATAGACTGTTGTCTGTATCTTAAGCATCCATTTCCAACCCCCTATCAGAGAAAAGATCTTGTTTATTCCAAAGCACAGATTTGTCAATCCCAAATAATCTTTGCTTGGCAGAGGAAATCTGTGAGAAAGAAGAACAGCTGTCAGAAAGAGAATATCTAAGTACCGAAGGCTAACTTATCTGCCTTTCCAGAGGCAGCAGTGATCCATTTAATACCGCCTTCTATGCGTGACTATATGTTTCCAAGATCAGGTAAAAAGCTGCAGATTCCACTAAAGAATATTTGAAGAAAATTTTCTGCTTTGTGTAGTCTTTTCCAGATGAGGATCTCCTCCTCCGTTCCCCTCACACACACACACACACCTTCATTGCAAGGCAACCTTATATGTACATCTTCAGTAATTCTTATCTCATTTCTTTGAGCTGTATTAAGTAAGCATACCCTATAACAGCCCTGTTGCGTAATTATTTTTAATACTTTGAAGATATGCAGCCTTAAATGACTTTTTAATTATTAACAGTTGGGGGCAGATTCACCATTCTGCTGGTTATAACAAAGCATCCCAAAAATACAGGCTAATTAAAAATATTTTTTTTTTTGGCAGAGCAGCTGAAGTGAGCTGATGAAAATGCCTTTATTTTGTAGCAGATTTATTGATTCAGAAGAGTACTATGGACATTAATATCACCAAAAAGAAGAAAAAAAAAAAACAAACCAAAAAACAAACCACAAAAAAAAGCCCCCAGAACAGAAGCAAAGAGCCAGTCCCTCTGCCTGTGTGGTTAAAAGCTCGGTGTCCGATCAGATCGTAGTTACCCCACTAAGGTTCCTTCTTCCACGCTGTAACGGAGGCAGCTCTACCGCGGGGAGCTTTGAGAGCACAAATTCTGTCACCAGCTGTAGGATCTTTACACAATGGTGGCAGCTGGAAGGAAGTGATTTATCAATGAAAACTTTTGATGTGAGCCCCTTCTCTATGTTGCTCCACTTAATAGGGTTGCCATGCATGAATTAGCTAGAAAGGGAAGTTTCTCTCTGTTGAAACGGCCTCCACCATGAGCCCTCTGACTGATTTTGGTGTCCGTCTAATCACAACAATTAGAAACAGTTGCTCTGAGCTTCACTACCACCTTGCTTCTTCATAAAACGTGTGCTTCAACTTCAGGTGGGCTGCAGCAGCATGGGAAGAGCCTGCTTCTTGCTGTTGCCAAAAATAATTTTGAATCCTGCTGAGGCTGATGGCAATGCTCTGAGGAATCAGATTTTTCTTATTAGGTATAGATGTATTTGCTCATAAATCAGTGAATTTATGTTTAAACTTCTGTTTAGAGAACTCACTTTGTGTTGGTTGTTCAGGTTGGAGAGTATATGATGCATTTTTTTAAGCATAGCAGTATTTGAATTTATTTTTTTTTAAGTGTGAAATGGAGCTCGCCTGCAGCTACAGCGTCAGGACTGATACCTCCGTGACGTTAATATTCACTTGTTCTGGACATGTAATGGCACACATCACTGAAACCTGATTCAGGAAAAAATAACAGTCCCTTTCTCTTTTGTGCTAGATATTACTGCAATAACATGCCTTCAAATTGCAGGAGAATTCACTTAGGACACAGTAATTTTCCAAAGTGAATTAGAGTTATTGTAATCTTTTCTGGGAGAAGGTACCTTCAGGAAATTTGTAAATCTGGGGCACGTTAGCTCTGTTTCAGTTCCATCTGTGAAAGGTGGAACTTCCTAATTCATAGGTGTTATATATATATACACACCTTATTCTTTATATAAAAACCTCTGCAATTCTCAGAAGAAAGGCATTGCATAAGAGCAAGGGAGGAGTGACACCTGAAATTACAAAACCCTTAAATAATATGTTGGAGACAATGATGCTTGATGGCAGAATTAGGTGCTATGGGAATGAATACCACTGAGAGGAAAAGCCATCTAATTACAGTGGTCTATTTTCAGACTAATTTTAGGTTCCGAAATCCACCCCTGGTAAGTAGTGGGTTCCCCTGGTTTTTGCCTACTCATTCGAATAGGATGTATGATCACCACCCCTTCATTTTAGAATATATATACTTTGATGCCATCTATGGTGTCTAATTTTTAATAATACGTGTTTCAAATTTACTGTCTTCATAACTGTAATTTCATTCATTGTGCATGCTTTTTGTGGGATATCTCCTAAACCTGACAAAGAAAAATATTTTTTACATGTAAAATTTTATTTTTATTTTTTGGATGTAAAATGCAGCTAAACTAGATTCTGTAAGAGAACTCCACAGACAACAGTGACAGCTGATTTGTAACTGAAGTATTGTTACAGCTGCTAAACACGTTGGAGGAAAATACACAATCAGCTTTAAATGTAAAAGGACGTAACGGGGGAGTCAGTACGTGAGAGTAGCTGTGGGTCCTGACAACAGTTTTTGAAGGTACAGTTTTTATAGTAGCTTTTTGGCACTTAAATGTTAGGGCCATTAAATATTAATATTTCATGTTTATGGAGCAAGTGGGATGTTCCTGTAACTGGATATAATCCAAGAAATTGTGAAGTTAACGAATGTGTTTCTATCATCAGTATTTATGTCCCTGTTTTTTTTCCGTAAGACAAAATAAAGCAAAAGATAAAAGAAAATAAACCCTTGTGCTTGGAAATACTGGTTTTGTTTTGTTTGTTTCTTGATGGTTGCAAATTCAACTTAATTTATGGTGTAGTCTTTACAAATGCTTTGGAGCTTGCTGGTAAGACAGTTTCCTTCAACACTGCCATGGTAATGTAGGTTATAACCTAAGTTGAGTGTTAAGTGGGGATGATCAGGAGAGTCACATAAAATGTGTGCTCCTGATTTGTGTTAAAATGTTAATGTACACAGGCGAGGGGATGAGGAATGATCCAGGGCAAAATCCAGATACTTCTTGTTTACCTTCTGGAGGCACTAAGGCAGTGTGCTGCTGGTGAGCACTGAGTTTCCTTTTGTCTGTAGTACTTCTCCTGTGAAGAAAATAGCATTTACTTGATTGACATGCATCTTTGATTGGGATGGAAAACAAGAAGCTGGTTGAGTATATTTTTGTGAGAGAGTCGCTGCAGAAGGGAAATAATGTAACTTCTGTTAACTTATTTGGGTCATACAAGGGGCTGTTATTGCTGTTTGAATGTTAGAATGCTGCTGGGATGGATGAATGTAAAGATACACTTAAAGACGCCTGTGGTAGGACTCGGCTTGAGATTAAGAGCACTAAATTTGTATGTCTGTATACAGCAATTCAACTCACTGGTGACTAGATGTCTACTTGAGAGTGAAATGAAGAATTGAATTGGTCTCCAAACTCCGCTGGCGATGCTGATGACATCTCTATTGATTAGTAATGAGACATTAAACATCCTGTCTGGTTGCTTCAATGTTGATGTTGAGTGTCATTTGAGATGCTCTAGAGTTCACTGTCTGGCCTCCAGCTGCTGCACTACAGGCACATGGTTTCTTATAGCTCGTTGGCTGCGTCTGGGAGCCCCATCCAGATGTTCCAGGTGCTATAGGATGTCTCAGACGTTGGTGGGAAGCCTAGGCGATACATTGAGCGTTGCTGTGCCTGAAGACACCCGTTTGTAGATAACCAGGGCTAGGTGTCTTCATCTTGAGCTTGTATCCCATCCCTAGCCTGTATTAATGAATAATGTCCATCTCGGTTCAGTATGAAGTCAGAATTACCTTTGAATTGTGTGAGTGGAAAAAATACAAGAGAGCGCGCTTTTATTTATTTTTATTCTTTAACTTCTCTTCTGACTTACTGGTTTTAATTCATTCATGAA